AGCTTGGCAGCATCCTTCACCAAAGGTGTCCACCAACGGGTTCGAGGGTTGCCGCCGCGACAGGCACCAACAACCTTGCGGCCGCAGCTCCGACAAGCCGCCTCGGAAATGGAGGCACGGAACATGGTCCACTCAGACTCAATGTTAAAGCTCCGTCACACAGGGGATTCCGCCAGACGTTCCCAGCAGACCCTCACCCTGGGTTCCACGTCCCAAGAGCCAGCTTCTGCAGCCGAGAATCAGACCGCCAGGGTCCCCTCCCTCGGCTGCCACCTGTAACACACTGCACCCGACCCCTTTGGCCCCTCCGACAGGTGGTGAGCCCATTGGAAGGGGGACCCCCGTCTCCTCTTCGGGCTGAGCCCGGCCAGGCTTCGTGGGTAAAAGCCCGGTCACCAGGCGCTTGACATCATGCCCCCCCTCCAGGCCTGGCTCCAGAGTGGGGCCCTGGTGACCCACGACCGGGCGAGGGAACGCCAGATCCAAAGTTGTTTTCCATCATAAGGGGTCAAAAAGGCCATCAGCAAACTTTGTATGCAAGCCCATGTCCTTTAATATCTGCAGTAGGATGCTCTTCATGTTTCATTAGTCATTAGTGGTTAGTTCCATCTTCAATGCAGTGGTGTTCTGGGGTGCTGCAAAAAAGACTTAAACTCATTAAGGGTGAGCAAGTGGCTCCATTGTCATGTTCGAGAAACCAGTCAGATGATTCGCGCTTGATGACATGAAGCATTATCCTACTGGAAGTATCCATCAGAAGATGGTACACTATGTGTAAAGGGATGGTCAGCAACAATAACAACACCACCACTCAGGTAGGCTGTGGCATTGACACGATGCTCAATTGGTACTAATGGGCCCAAAGTGTGGCAGGAAAATATCCCCCACACCATTGCACCACCATCACCAGCCTAAACCGTTGATACAAGGCAGGATGGATCCAGGCTTTCTTGTTGTTGACCTCAAATTCTGACCGTACCATCTGAATGTTGCAGCAGAAATCGAGACTCATCAGACCAGGCAAAGCTTTTCCAATCTTCTATTGTCCGATTTTGGTGAGCCTGTGTGAATTGTAGCCTCAGTTTCCTGTTCTTAGCTGACAAAAGTCAGAGATGCTCTTCTGCATACCTCGGTTGTAACAAGTGATTATTTGAGTTACTGTTGCCGTTCTATCAGCTCAAACTAGTCTGGCCATTCTCCTCCGACCTCTGGCATCAACAAGGCATGTGCGCAGACGCGCCGCCAGAAATCTTGGGCCCCATGACAAAAGATTAGATTGGGGCCCCCCCTTCACAGCTGCTGTTACAGTTTCTTGAGTCTATCTGACCCATCAAAAGCATCACAATTTTAAAGGCTGGCAACTGCCTTGCTTTCCTTGGTCCAATATTAATACTAACACAATATTTACTGCTAGTGAATTTTACATGCAAAAGCCCACATACTGCATGCAAATAGGTTGCTTAAATTTTTTTTATTAGTTTTATCTCATTGAAATGTCTCTTCCCACTTGCAACAGTCACAGACAACGTGCAAAATATACATAAAACAATCCAAACTTCTAAAAAAAAAATGCTATGTAGTTGCATTTTATTCAAGCTGCAGTATGTAACTTTAATAAAAAATGTTTTCTCTATATTTGCTAAAGCTGTGCCAATGTCATGACAATTTATGAGACAGATAATCCGTGAAAACAACTAATCTCCTCCACCTCCTCACTGAAATACTGTTAGCTAAATGTTTTTTCTGACCAAAAACAACCAATCAGAACCAGGAGGAGGGTTTTGTGTCGTTAATCAACTTCATTCACTCACTTCTACATATGCTAATGGTGGAGAAACAACTTGCTACAGGAATACTGTTTATCTGCCATCATTGGTACCTATGCTAACTAAACTGAGCATTCAGAATTTGAATCTGCATAGCTCTGTGCTATGCTAGCTGCAGCATAGCACAGAGCAAGGGGGAGGGAGGATGAGCAGCAACATGAGATTGTGATAGACGGCGCTAAAACCCGCCTCCTGCCTCTGATTGGAGCACACCCTCCAATCAGAGGCAGGGAGAAGGCACTGGGAGAAAGCAAAGGAAATAATTTTTTCACAAATTATCTCTCATGTCACACCATCACAACACAATGACAGTTCAAACAAATATATATATAAAAAAATGTATAAACGTTACATACTGCAGCTTTAATTTCACTTAGGTAGAGGACGGGTCAGGATGGACGTGGCAACATATATCTGTAATTTAAATGCAAGATAAGGTAAAACTGTTTGGCCTGGCTGCAGACCAGTCAGGAGGCTGTTTTTTTATCATCATTTTATAAAGATTGAGTGAATTTCTATCAGCAACAAATGCATTGTTTTTGTTGTGTAATTGTAAAAAGAGCTAAGAAAAGAGAAATCCCGATGATTTCCTGGAATAATGCTAACTACGTTGTCATTGAACACAGTGTTGCTCACCATTTTCACTGGGATGGGGGAAAGTGGTTTATGTTGGTATCGGGGATTAGAGCTGCTGCTGACTGACTCACCTGTTGTCAAGTGTGGTAAAATGTACAGGGACAAGTTAAATATATGAATATCTTGGTATTTCTTTTCCTTAATTCATTAAAAGCTATGGAGGCAAACAGTAGTCTGTAGCTAAGCCAACTATGCTAAATGGTTGATAATCTCACACAGTCTACTCACCTCTCTTGGAGAAAAACTGTGTTACAAATGGACACTCTTGTTTTTTCTCTCTCTTATCTTTCTATTTTTTTGAAAACTTGACTATTCTAGGCAGCATAGTTACTGCCACAGTCGTTCTTGTCTTGTACTGACTGCTGCTGAAAACGTCACCGTCAAGCATGCCAAGCAGGAATGAACCATTTAACGCAGATATGGGGGGAGTTCAGTGCAAATATGGATGTGTGCTTTTTGGTCTGGGAGGGGTAACATTAAATTTTTACAGCTAAAAACAATTAAAAAAAAAACCTCACAATAACAGTAATTGACATGGCCTCAATTATTTTTCTATTTCTGTAAAAATAAATAAATAAAAATTTGTGGGGGGCCACCAGTGGTCAAGGGCCCTTGGAATTGTCATAACTTTTCCTCTCTATACCGCACCCCTGGATCCACATAACTAACTGCCTGGAGCTGCAGACCTCATATTATACGATGAGCAAGAAGAAAGTTTTCAAAAGCCTGGAGAATACAATCATTTAGTTTCAAGTTGGGTCAAGCAGTTAGGATCAAAAAAGCATTAAATGGCTGTCGACTTCTTTCTGCCGGGTGAGTAGTAAGTTGTGCTATTTTAAGTAATTAGACTATGATAACAATGCTATGCTAACAACGAACTAACTCATGTTACTTTATGAGCTTCAATCTCCTGGTAAATAATTTATTTAGCTTCTGTAAACCCAAATTCATGCTGAAGTTGTACATTAAAGTTCCTCCAGATGCAGTTGACATTTTTGCGATGCTTATTGCAACTCGACAAAGGTGCGCTGGTTAACGAATTGAACATTGTGTAAATATTACACAAGCCTAGTTTACGCACTCTACCTACTGCTAACATTAGCTAGCTTGATATAACGGGGACAGTGACAGACAAGATATGCTACTGTTGTCATAAGTTGTTTAAGATTTTTTCTTTGAGAAAAGGGTGGACACTTTAGTAGCTGTTAAACGGTGTAATTTTGTGAAGATTACTTAGCATTCATATTCTGTGTCCCGTCACCGAAGTGAAGCAGAAAGCCCTGCAGTTGTGGAAAGAGTTCTGAGATAGCAGGGAGTCAGAGTCAATCGCTTTAGTCAGCGCTACCCAATAGGAACAAGTCTTACATTGTTCGTTTTTAGGCCCCGCCCAAGATGTTCATATGAAATTGGCAAGCAAAACTTGAATTCAACCAGAAAAAGGGAGCCTCAAACAAAACTTTGAGGCTCCCAAAAACTTGAGAATCTCAACCAAAAACTTTGGCTGTCAACTAAAAAATTCTGACATCCGCAAATAAAAGTTTGTTCAGCAAATAACTTTTTTACTTCAAACAAAAATGAGTGATTTAAATTAAAAAAAGAAAAAGCTTTTTAAACACAACTGTTTTTGTTTTAAAAGAATTATTACAATTCAAAAAATTTTGACAAGTTTCATGTTCTTTGATTGAATTTTTTTTGTTTGAAACAAACATTTTTTTGCAAATCAAAAAGTTTTGATCACAATTTTATTTTTTCACTTTTTTTTGAATAATTGTAAAACAAATTTAACTCCATATTAATATCAGCACTTTACAACCCTTCATGTTCTACTTAACCAGAGCCATCTTTTATGTAGAATCTTTTACCAAATAAGCGTATTAAATTCAACTCTGCAGGACTTTGTGTAAACTTGGATTTACTTTTTTTATTTTACTTATCTTTATTTTACGCCATTAATTTATGTTGTTACTAATTTGATTTGTAGTGGTTTTTGTTTTGAGTCTCAAATTACGTCCAGTTTTTGTCTTGGGTTGCTGTTCTTTATTGGGTTATAAATTACAATAATGAAGTTTATTTTTAATATTGTAAAAATATAAATAAAACATTTTGTGCACTACTTTGGCTTTTGTCTGGTAAGTTTGAAGCCAGACCTACCTGGGTACTGTTAATAGGGAGACCGTTGGCCATCATTTGAGAAGTCTACCAGTTGGCTTTAGTGCCACGTCTTCTGCCACAATCCGGGTCCTTCCTCCGTTTTACAAGTACAAGAAGCAATCTACTATGACCAACTTTAGGTTGACTTTAGAATACCAACTTGGTATTCTAAAGTTAGTATTCTACCAACTTTAGAATACCAAAGTACTATGACCAACTTTAGATACCTAAAGTTGGTCATAGTAGATTGCTTCTTGTACTTGTAAAACGGAGGAAGGACCCGGATTGTGCCAGAAGACGTGGCACTAAAGCCAACTGGTAGACTTCTCAAATGATGGCCAACGGTCTCCCTATTAACAGTACCCAGGTAGGGTACTGTTAATACCTTTCAAAACTCTGTGGCACATCAGTGGCAGTGACCATCTCTAACAGGATAGTACACCCTGGAAACGCTGGCCAATGACAGTCTGGAGCACCTGACTGTTAAATATCATGCACATACCTTTATGATGCTCTGGCAAGTTGACAGGGATAGTCCAACCAGACTGGTTCCATTGATTGACATGATCTGATCCCCTATGTTGACTCTACCAGACCTCTCAGCTGGCCCAGCATGCATCATATTGGCAATGATAACAGTAGGTAGAATGGAGCCCCATCCACTCTCCACAATGACCACACCCAGAATCTCACCTTTAGCTTTTTCTATACACACCTGAGATAAAAGAGAGTAACCCAAAAGGAGATAACATAAAATTAGTACACATAAAAGACAACA